TTGTGTTTAGACGGAAGGGGAACTAGGTCTGAGCCCAAGTTCAAACCCTGGTCTTAAACGCAGTGTAGATATACCTTTAGTGTTTGTGCCACAGGTTACCCAGACCTTTGTAAAATAACCAACTGTTCCTCTTAGAAGGTCTTTCTGGAGGCCTGGCAGGTCTTTGTATCTTTACAAGCCCCCCAGTAATTCATTTCTGTACTTACCATCTTATCACCTCTCTCTACACAGGTTCAACACCCTGGTCCTGCACTCCTGGGCCAGTTTCCACCCCCCTACCCAAACCAGCTTCTTTTGCCAGGGTGCATAGAGCTAGTCCCTGAATGATCAGTTCCTGGAGCTTAGTCTCCAGTTCTTTTTCCATCTGGGTAACTTGCTGCTCCAAGGCAGACTTGACATTCTCTAGCCCCAACTTCTCCATTGCTCTGCTCAAGAAGAGGGGGTTGGTGAAAAGTCTCTCTCTCTTTCACTTCTATTTCAGTTCTTCTCATTTGTCCCTGTGATAGACAAGAGGAATTGGAGTAACTGCTTGGTCTCAAGAGAAAAAGTCTATCTTTTAGTTTGGAGACTTCTTTCTCAAGATTTAACTTGGCTCCTACACACATCTGTTCCTTTAAGTACTTCTTTTCATCCTCTAACTCTTCCAGCTGGGTAATGAGACTCGGTTTCTGGTGGTCTCTTCCTGCAGTGACTCTTGTGTCATCTGCATGTGGGCTCCCAGGTCTGCCAATTTATCTTCTGGCTTAAATGACTTGTTCTCTAATTGATTTTGCTGTCCTGAGACACTTTTCAAGCTGACTTGTGGTTCTGTCACTTCCTTCCATGAGTACAAAGTATTTCTTTTACCAGGTAGAGGCATCTTAATCTCATTGGTCAGCCTTTCACATTCACTCTCCCATGCTTGCTTTGCCCTTTCAAGGTCTGCTTCTATTTGCTTGGTTCATTCCAGCTGTGTAGCTAGACTCTCCAAAGCCTGGGATATTTCCACCTAATTTCTGTGATTTGGGCCTCATGAATTTTTGCCCAGTCATCCAAATCCTGATAGAAAGCTTCCATCGAGGCCTGCAGCTTTTAGATTTGTTTTACAGTCACATCATAGCTCTTGTTGCCAGCATTTCCCTGGACCTTCAGATCCCTGGAGTCTTTTTTCTGGCTTGCTCAACCCCACAATCCTGTTGTCCTCGAGGTTAGCTGGTTGAACCCTTCTTTTGAGTGGAACTCATTCTGGTTCCTCAGTATGACCTGGTTCCTTTACCAAATAATTCAAGATCCCCAAACTCTCATCTCTAGGGCTGAGAGTAGCGTGAAGGTATCTACCCTAACCAATGGGAAGCTTGAAACCCATAGCCATCTGCCTACCTTTAATTTTACATGCTCAGACTGATTTCCTGGACTACTCCATATTCACCTAGTCTTGTAGGCTCTTTTTTGTAGCCTCTATCTTTCTCATAATTAAACTGCATCTACCTTAGGGCAACATCTTTCTATGTGATCATTCTTCCCACAACCAAGACAGACTGTCCATGGGTCATCACACTTTCTTGCCCCAAAAGTAGATCCCCACGGTCTTTTGTTCAGACTTCATAATAGCCAGCAGTTTCTGGCAGGGTGTCTTTGGCATCCTGGCTCTCCCCCGTTCCTCTGGTGCTCAGTGCAACCAGGCCAGCTTTACAATCATTGCCTTCCCTTTCGGTGTCGATGACAATTGACTCTTTACCATTGTGGAACCTCCTTCACAGCCCTCTGAGGCTGCTCAGACATTCCTCCTCCCCCCCAAATGGAGCTGAACTCCAACAGCTGTGGCTGCCCCTCCATATGCTGACATGGGAGGATAAAAATTTCACAGCCAAGGAAGGTGTCTGCACTGTGGCGCTTGGTCATCCCTCCTGGATGGGAGAGGATCTCAGAATCCCACTTCTGGTACCACTTGTCACAATCTATGCCTGCCCTGTAGCACCTCTTTGCTGAGCTAGTGCTGCAGGCACTATCTATCTCACTTTCCCTTCTCTCAGGGCCCCTTAAAAATTCTACAGAATCTGAAGGGGTGTAAGAAAACTCCCCTGATGGGGTTCTTTTTTATTAAATGGAAATGAAGTCTCTTCCCTTTGGCGCATGGGTTGCACTGCCTCCTCCTTAGTCTCTGGGAGCTCCTCTCCCTTATGAGAGCTTCTCTCTGTGAGCAACTCTCTGCAATTGAGCCCAGAGACCTTTTATCAGGCTCAGGTGTTTGTTATTCAGTTAAGTGCCTAGGTAAGCTCAGTCCCTTTAAATTAGATCTTTTAGGATAGCTTTAACCCAGATTTCTCTTAAAGGGGCCAGCAATCCCATGACAGGGACTTTTTAAAAATAATGAACGGGTTTATTCAAGTAGTTAAGAAAATAAAGACAAAGTAACATATGGAGTCAAGGGGTTCCAGTTAGATAGACTAGGAGACAGAGTATGTTTACACTGCATTTATGGAATGTGATTGCAGCTCATGTACACATACGCAAACTAGCTTTAATCTATCTAGCTTGGGCACTGGAGCATTGAAGCTGCAGCAGCACTGATTTTGGTGCCCCACCCAAGTAATTACCCAATTTTCTGGGTGGGTTTATACAGCCCACACTGAAGCCCATGCTGATGCATGGTATCCGAGATTAGGTATACAACCCATGATTGCACTATGGACATGCCCTCAGAGAGCGAGGATCTCTACCTCTGGCTTGCTATGTGATCCTGGACAAATCACTTGACCCATGTGAAAAAAGGTTATAATAATACTTATCTACCATTCTCTCCATCTAAGTTTCACTGAGGGCTCATCACCAGCTGCACAGGATATCGTGAAAAAAATAAAGTTAGTGAAGTACTTTGAGAGCATTGTTTAAAGCATTATTATTATATACAATGACTAGAAATAATAATATAGAGCGCTACCAAACTATAGAAGTAGAAGTTTCTATAGTTGGATTCTCATCCCCATTCTGCACTTTCATACAAGGGCAGTAAAGGGCTGTGGAAGAAACATGTTGGTGAAGGAGCCGTGTAGGACCAGTGTAATCAGCACTGCGTTGCCTGCTGTCATAACCCAGAGCATAGGAGGCATGCTGAGGGCAGGAGAGATCATGCTGAGTGCACTCAGCACTACAGGGATTCTGGGCTGCACAGCACCCCACAGGAAGAGTGAGGCTGTCATAAGTTTAAGGATGACTAGCAACAGGTCTTGGCATCCTGTCCACATTAAAATTTACAAACATGTTAGTTAAAACTTGTTCATTAACATGTGCTAAACCATGATTAGAAATTTAAAATAGGGACAAACTGACAATTAGTTAACTGGTTCCATGAAGCTTATTTAAATTGATGAAATGAGAGGATTTTCTTGGAGTAACACACACAGACAGTGCAAACAAACCTCATTTACATTAAAAGAGAAAAAAACATTCACTCTAACAAAATTGTACATTTCTCCAGGGTTTTAAGATCTTGTCTGACAATAATTCTAACAATCAGACCTTTGTTTCAAGTCACTGCAAGCATACAGTTATACTCCGAGGAAATCATTAAGGAATCTATTCCCTGTTTGATGCATGGATGTTACTTATCATTACTATTAACAGGACTTGTTTTTACGCTGTGTTTGCAGTACACAAGGCTGCAGCTTGACAATACTTTAAATTGTGAGGAGATGGGAGCGAGTAGGGATTAGAGGAGATGTGATCAACATTGATCTTAAATGTCATGCTGAAATTAAAAACAAATGAAACTGTAATCAAAGGGCAATGGGGAAATAAGGAAAATCTAGGGGTTAAAATGAGGACTTGGGGACTCTGCTGTGTTCTAAAAAGTTATTGACACATCATAAAGACAAGCCTGAGCAACACAGTTCAAACTGACATCAAGGTGCAGATCTAGATAATTCCAGAGAGAGTTTAAGAGGAGCAATGCATTGATTCAATTGTTTGGGTTCAGGCCCTTCTCTCATGTATTAAAATTTTAATATTGCCTTTGGTTGTATTCAAAGGTGCTGGGCAATACTCTGGGGTCCTCTTTCCCAAGAGGAAGTACAGTACAAGCTGTGACAATGTGAGCTTTCCCTATGCTGGGCCTCAACACTTGTAGTCCATTCAGCTTACAAGCCCATTCAGTGCTCGGCCTATCTATTGAGACAAAGGCACCAATTGTGGTGGGGATTTCTGTGTGGTGAACGCTTGTCCACAAAAACCAGAACTGAGATCAAACTTGTTTCATACAGACTGCTAAACTGCCATTAACCTTCAGTCCTGACCAAGCCGAGCTGAATCCGAGATTAAAAGCTTCATATTATGCTAATACCAAACAAGCTGCAAAGCAATTATTAATAATACCTAGCTCTTATTCAGTGCTTTTCATCTGTAGATTTCAAAGTGCTTAAGAAGAAGAAAATATCATTATCCCCATTTTACAGATGGAGAAACCAAGGCACAGAGAGGTGAAGTGACTTGCCTAAGGTCACCCAGCAGAGCCAGGAATCGAACCGAGATCTCCTGAGTCTTGGCCCAGTGCTCTAGCAACAAGGCCACGTTGCTCCATACAGCTTTTTCAAACATTTTACAAAAAACAATACAAAAAAACACATTCTTCATGGAACTCAAAGAAGAAGCGTTTTGAACTAGAAGATTCAAGCATTCACTGGAAGTGCTTGCAGTCCAAACCCTGCTGCATAGTCACAGTGCATTAGAGCGAAGTCGACAAGAAATATACCAGGGTAGTTACAATATGCAAGCTGAGCAAAAAACGTAAGCAACATAAGTTAGGTATGAACAACTCTTTTCATAATCTAAGGAGTTATTAGTGATGTGCATAAAGAGAGGGTTTATTTGTGTGTTTGTGTTTGGAGACAAGTTAATCTTTTGTGTAATTTATTGATTTCAGTTGACTAACTCCCTAGATCAATTAAGCCTATGATTTGTAATTTGGCAGCGTCTCTTTAAGCCTAAAAGAGGGCATACTTTCTGAATTCTTGTCTGTTTTTTACCTGGTAAAGTGGCTCGTGGCTTGGAGGTCTGAGTCCTGTGGACGAAGGTTATCATACACATACTTCAGATCCTGGATGCTGTTCAGCTCAGGCAACCCTGCATGCAGCATCTTTGAATAAACAGGATTGATCCAATAAATGCACTGAAAATAATTTAAATGAGACCGGGCTAACTAGAAAAAAAATGGAGTTACAGAGAAAGAACTTTCCCCATTTATATTTACAAACCTCTCCTAATTTGGGCAATGTGTGACTCTGGGTATAACATGCAGAGAGCGGATTAGGAGAATGAAATGCATTCTTAACCTCTTCACATTGATACACTAGAAGACGGTGTATTCAAATGGATTCAGGACCTCATGAATTGAATTCCTTGCAACTGATCCCTCTATGAGGAGTCCACCACCTCAGTATACACAGGAACATTATTCTTCCCTCTCGGCCTCCTTAAGGCAGCAAAGGGCATCTACCTACAGATCTCCAGGGCAGGCTGCAAACACCGCCTTCAGCAGTGATAACCTCCTCCCCACCAACCAAACAACACTAAACCAGAATGGATGTCTCCCCTTACTCTATGAACTCCTTACACCTAAAGGGATACCTATAAAAACATTACACCCCAATGTCACACTATTTCAAATGCATGTAATTAGGTACATACACCTACCTGTAAGAAACTGGTTTTGTTAATGTACCCAGTTTTAGTTGCAACATACCAGTTACCTTTAGCCTCTCTGTGCCTCAGTTTCCCAGTCCAAAAGAAGGGTATAATAGTAGTTGCTTGCCTCTACAGAAGTATTAGTAGGCTAGAATATGTTGTAAAATGGCTTGAATATGTCCTATGTATTATTATTGGATGAACGACACTTCCTAAGTGCAAAGTCTTACTTCCTTCCAATTTTATTTGTATAGTAACGAGAGTTAACAACATTGTCAGTGCAGTGCAATGAGAAGTGGACAACTAGACATGTTCAGTGTGTCCAGCACACCTGTCTCTTCTTTAAAATGTTAAAAAAAGAAGAGAAAAGTTTCTAATAAATGTTTTAAACCCACTGACTTTGCATATTCCCCACACCGAGTTGAGGACTGTGTGTAATAGAGAGAAAATCTTTCCCACCCATTTCTCAGAAAGAATACAAATATAACTTTACCATTGCTGCTTGAGCATGTACATTCTGCAGTGAAATATATTTCCAGTGCAGACAGAAGTGCCCGCTGATCTCAGAAGACTAAATCAAATAAAAGGGAGACATAGGTTTTGTTGTAAAATGAAAGGGGGAGAGAAGAGGGATATTTGTTTTCCTTATTTCTTTCCGTCTTTTAAAATCAATGTGGTTATATTTTGGGTTCTTTTCTCCTCAGCACCATGGTTGAGATGTTGCCTAATGTCTCAGGCTCTGTCTGGACTGCTTCTGGAACTGTGACAGCTTGAACACGGGTTACGCAGAGGAGACTGAAAAATCACTGAGGTGAATTCAAATGGTTTAATTTCCAAGAGAATCCTCCCCTCCGTTGGGAGGGCTCTGTTAAATACAAAATGGGCACAGGACTGGAAGGGACCTTCTGGGTCATCAAGTTCTGTCCCCTGCTATCACATGCAACCCTATCAGATAATCCTGGTAATAATTTAACAAAATCAATTTTAACACTAGTTTGCCTCTTCTACTGCTATTGGGACGCTGTTCCAGAACCTCTCTCCTCTTATGGTTATAAGACCTTCTTCTAACTTCTAGCCTAAATTTATTCCTGACCAGTTTCTGTCCATTTGTTCTTATGCAAACATTGTCCTTTAGCTTAAATAGCTCTTCTTCCTTTTTGGTGTTTACCCCCTGACATATTTCTAGAGAGCAATCATGTCCCCTCACAATCTTTGTTTTGCTGGGTTAAACAAGCCAAACTCTTCCAGTTTCCAGGTATAACGTAGGCCCCTCCATTCCCCTGATCATCCTAGGAGCCCTTCTCTGCACCTGTTCCAGTTAGAGTTCACCTTTCTTGACAATGGGCAAGGCACAATAATAATATTTTGCAGTTACAAACACATAATATTATTTATCCATACATCTTCAAGCAGTTTACAAAAGTACAAATATCCCCATTTTATAGCTGGGACAACTATGGTGCAGAGAGGTAAAGTGTCTTGCCCAATGTCATGCTATGTGTTGAGGTGGGAAAAGAATCCATGTCTCTTCTAGTTTCCAGTTTGGTGCCCTAACTACCTTACACCAGAGGCAAGTGGCATGGCTTGGACTCCCTACCCTGGGGATATGGGAAAGACGAGCCCAAGTGCTGGGGAAGCAGAAGGTTGTGTGGGTAGGACTGGCTTCTCTGCATTGCTCTGTTGGCTACCGTTCCCACTGGCAGCATGGTTCCTTGAGGATCATCCAGCCCCTCCATCATTCTTGCTTTGTGTAGTTTCTTTCCTCTTGTATCATATGGGACAAGGACGGTTCCCAACACAGTGATGCTGGAGATTGATCAGACAAGACTTTGGGTATTTTCCAACTGGTTGTCCCAAGTGCACATATGTTTGGGCACCAGCTGGCTTGGGCTACAATACTTGACCATCACAGGTATTTTAGTTATCTGATGTAACTATATATAAGCCTGAGCCACAAACATTTGGATCTGGATTTCTAATCCCCCAAAGTATGGTAATGTCTGGATCTGCTCATAGTGAAAAGGAAGTGAAGGGCCAGCTGTAAGGGTGGACCCAAGTTTGGATGGCAAACATCTCCAAGGGTATTGGCATTCAGATCCAGAGTTGTGGGACAGGCCCATCTCTACATGAAACAATTAATTATACTAGTACTGACACAGCACTTTTCACACAGACCTCAAAGCCCTTCACCAAGATGGGCAAGTTTCATTATCTCTATTTTACAAATGGTATTTCCGAGGTGTGGCAAAATGGAGTGATTTGCCCAAGGACACAGAGTGACTTAGTGTCAGTGAATCTATATCTTGTATCTCTCAGTAATGACTGTCTATTTCTTACTCACATTTTAGCAGAGTGCTGATTTGTTAGGCTTCCTTGGAGAATCAACTATATAGACCTGTCTATATAGAAATTTCTATCTGGAAAATCCTGGATTTCACATGATTTTTGAACTAGTTGAATGCTGCTCATGGCCCCCAGAAACCCTCTGCTATAGTTCACATTGATTCTTTAATGAGAGGAAAGCTGATAAACTACAGGCTTTGTAGCTGGACTCTTCCAGCGAGGCTCTTGGGCCTCCCATAGATGTTTCTGCTTTTCAGAGTGATGGGAACTTCATGGCTTATTTCTTCCCTCACTCCCTGGAGCATATACTGGTACTGCTGATATCTGGAAACATGCTGCTCATCACCAAGAGAATAAAGAATTAACTCCACACTGGGCCAGAAAATATTGTGGTTCATAATCACAATTTGCTGGACGCCACTAGCAGTTACTCACCATTCAAAGCAGATAGAGTTTACAACTCCAATCAAGCACTGCACATTTTGAAACTGGCCTTATACAACTTCAGATTTGACTTTAAAAACAAACAAAAAAACAACTTTATATAGACATCTCAGAAAGCAGAACTCAGACAACGAGATGCAGACAAGATGCAGATGTTCAGATATGCACAGAACATTCCATCATGGAAACTTGAGACTGCTTTTTCTGCATAAAATAAATATGAGATGGTTAGTTTATCTTTCCTTTCCTGCTACCATCTGGTATTTTGCACTAGTGAGCCAAAAGTAGATCTTACCCCATCGTCTATTTAATTGTCTATAAATTACCCTTTTTACTATATGTGATGGAGCAGTCTGCCCTTAAGAGTAGTGGGGCGTAATGGTCAGCCCATGTGGCATGGCCCTTTAAGAGTTTGAAAGGCCCAACTGTATATACAAGGACCTGGGAGATATTAGGAGAAAGGAAGCAGTCCCAGGAATAAGAAGTATTCTGGAGGAAATACTGTTACTGCTTCTTTAAGGGCCAGGACCCTTGCAGAGAGGGCAAGGCAAGGGTCCCCTCCCTCCTCCTTCTCCCCAGCCAGCTGGGAATGAGCTGGGAGAAGGGGACCAGAATAAAGGCTGCCTCCTCTCTCCTAGCAGGGCAAGCACCAGGAATACTAACAGGGAAATACTAGCTTGCTGAGCAGTCTGAAGCCTAAAGGCTAAGGGAAAGGTACCAGCTGAGGGAGAAGCTGGCAAAGGCCTTATGGCTGGCTAACCCATAGCTCAGCTCAGGAGAGGACAGCTCTTACTTCAGGACCAGAGAAAGTGATTAAGAGAACTCAGCTCCAGGGAGGAGAGGTGGGGGGGACTCCTGATTAAGGAGAACAACCAGGGACTAACTAATGCAGCCCATTTGCAAAGGAGACTCCTGATTAAGGAAGGGCTGAAAGGAGTAACCCAGAGAAGGAACCAAAATGGGTTCCAGAATCAGAGATTATTTACAGATGCAGGAAAGATGTATCTCCTGAAGGAAGGAGCCAGAAACTGCTTGTTGGACTGAGTGGGAGAGACAAGTGTCCCTGGGTGTAGCTGAGTAAGCTCTTATTTATGGCTCTGGTTAATGAGACCAACTTGTGACACCACGCCTGACAGAAAGGTGGTGTACTGGAGTGACCTTCACGCCACCACACTATGGCACTTAGATTCTTTTAGTTTTGACTGGCTGCTTGTGTCATGGGGGGAGCCAAATTCCCCCTTCAAACCTCAGTGAGACGAGCGGGGGCTTCCTCAATGTGATGAGGCACTCATCTCTTGAGTGCTCCCCAGTGGCTGGGGGCGGTACTGCAGTCTTTCCTGCCTCAGGCATCCCCTGTAGGTTGTCGACCTTGCTTTGTAGGTCTTCAGTGGCTCAGCCCTCCGGCCAAGTCACTCCGTGTAAAATGGATGAATGGCTTCCAGGGGAGCAAAGTGTTTGACACACTGTCTGCCCTCAGCCCCATCTCTGGGACCCTCTAAGTCCTATCCTTCACTTGGGCTTCCCAGCAGAGCCTTGTCCCCTTCTCAGGGCTTTGGCCACTTTGCTAGTAGACTGGTGGGGAGCCCACCCACTATTCTGGGTCCCAATCCAGGGACCCTTTAAACACGCATCACTGCCTCCAGTTTGCTGCTGCTATTTCCCTGG